TTAAACCTCACCTCACCATTCCTTTTGGCCTTGCATCAATGTAAGTAGTTCACATCAATCCAATCTTTTCTTTTTCAAAATAATTGCTGAGTTGTGACACGTTGTTTTAAAACCACAAATGCTGTATGACTTTCAGAACCAGGGCCAAGCCACTTCACATACTACATTACAAAAGAGTTCATCAGAAATAATTTATGGGACCAGAGGGCTGGTCGCAGCTACCAAATCTTGTTTAGGAATTTGTCCCCCATCTCAGTAGGTAAACAGACATAAAGGCAGTGACTAGAATGAACAAAAAAGGAATCTGCAACATAAGCCTGTCTAAAAACATTTTCTTCCAAACAATATAAATCGTTTCTGTTTGTGCTCCACGGTTGACAAAGCCCTTTAAAAAGTAGAGGTAAAGAAAGGACAGCATCCACAAAAAAGTGCCTATATCATGGGATGGAAGAAAAAGAGGAGGAATCAGGGCCAGCTAAGCATGATACATCAAATTTCATTAACATTATTAAGCAACACAACCAAAGTCAGAGTTCAGAAAAGAGAAAACTCACCTGGTTCTGTCAGTCCCGGGTTATAAGGACTCGTGTCGATGCTGAAGCCATGACCAGCACAATACAAACTATCTAGACGAAAACTATGAGGAAAATCTGGGTCAACAGCATTGTCAAGGGATGAGAAAGCTATTTGTCCTACTTCTTCCTAATTATCTTATTCTCACATCAGCATTTAAAAAAGAAAGCTATACAGAGGGACTGCTGGAGGTACAGGTCAGGGCAGCTGGCAGGTTTCCCCAGAAGCAGTGTCCCTCCAAAAAGTGACAATGACAGTAGGCCCTTGGTCTAAGTCTGTATCAAAGCCTGATTCTCTCTCTCTTTTTAAATTTGGTGCTTTTTTTCTGGCTTAAGAATTAGTAGTTTAAAAACTACTCTGTATTTTATGAAGCCTCTATGTCCATCTACTGGTTTTTAGGGAAAATAAGCCATAGGGAAGTGGGTCTCAAATTTAAGCCTGTTTCAGAATCCCCTGGAGGGCTTGTTGAAACTGTGCTGGACCCCACCCCCAGAACTGCTGATTCAGTTTTGAAGGAGAAGCTTTAAGATTCAATGCATCATCCCGCTCTTGCTCCTTTTTTTCTCATATGCCACCAGTAATGTCTCAGGGTCAATTTCTTCACCCTGGGTCCCAGAGAGAAGAACCAAAGCTGACCCATGATGAACCTGAAGTATAAGTCAAAAGTAAACATCTGTGGTTATGAGCCGCTGAGATTTGGGGATTGTTATCCTAGCATAATTTATTCTTATTAATACAGAATCCTTGTGCTAAGCATACTTGGCATTCTGCAGCAGATTTGGCTTTGCATGAAAACCAAGGAAAAATAAAATAAATGGAAAGGCAGATAATATTTCATTTCTCTTCAGCTTGTTCTGTATATGTATGTGTGTGTGCCATTCATATACACACCAAAAGCTATGAGACCTTGCACAAACTATTTAACATCTCTGTCCACACAAGCAGCATATAGGGTTGACCAGTTTAGCACCTTTTTGCAAGAAGATAGGCCTTCTATAAAACCAGAATGGAAATTCATAAGGAACTGAAAGGATGAGATGAGAAGTCAATAGGATGACTTGGAAGAGGAGAGGGGAGGGGGTGGGGAGGAAATGATGGAAGGAAACAAACAAAAAAATCCCAATAATAGAATTCAAGTCGAAACAGAGGCAGAAATAATGCTTTGGGAGATCTTATCAGTAATACTGAAAGCAAATTTGAGGCTACCAGAATGTTGAAAAGGGGTAGAGAGATGAAAATGCTAAAACAGAGAACTACCACAAATAATTGCTCTTCCTAAAAGAGAGATCAGAACAACTGGAGCAGAAACCACTCTGGAAGGTAGAATGGAAGAAAACCTTCCTGAACTGAAGCATATATATGCAGATAAAAAGGTCTCACACCTTTTAGCTAGACAGAAGGGGCAATGGAGTGGAAGCAAAAGCAGTATTCATTTTAAACAGCAAACATTTCAGCAATAGCCAGAGCATTGAGTACAGGAGGAGAGAGGCTAGAGAGGTCAGTGTGAACCAGGTAATGAAAGACTGTATATACTGTGCTGAGGAATTCTCTGCAAAACAGGAAGCAAAATCATGTGAGAAGAGAGAGAAATGATCATTGGTACGGGGCTTAAAGAGAGTGCTAAGGGTTAGTAACAGCAATTATTGGAAGTGAGAAATGTCACATAAAAGGATTCCTAAGAGGCAATGAGGCTCTCCACTGCAGTGGGTGTCCATCAGTTTTCAGTGGTTTAATTCTGTTATAGTTGTGTGGCTTTTTCTTCCCTAGCAGTGCTTGGAAACACAGATGTAGGCATGGAAAATGCAGATAACTGGAATGTTTCAGGATGGCAGTTCGATGTTAGGTTATGTCAAAGGGCAATTCAAGGGGCTCTGCTTTCAAGAGTGGTCGAAGTCAAAGACCATGAGCTGTAGTCAGGTAGAAGGTTCAGAGGATGTGAGAGCTCTGTGGTTTTTGAAGAACAAGTATTTTGGGACTAAGGGAAAGAGGACTGCAAGGATAAGGACCCTGAGTCCAACTAAATGGGATTTGTAAACCTAAGGTTTTAGATACGGAGCAGTACAAAGTGATGGATGTCTTGATTTTCTAGAATGGGTGCTTGGAAATGGGTGGATAAAGTAGAATAGAGGGAAAGTCATCTGGATTGAGGAAGTCAAGGAAACATGGTTTAGTCATGGGTGTTGGATTCATCAGGATGATGGCAGTAATTCAGATGGAGAAGGAAAACGAATGCAGTAGGTAGACGACAGTGACAAGGGTCCAGATGGGGTGGACCCTGAAAGAGAAATCTTGCAAGGGGTAAAAAGAATGTCAAAGTGTCAAGTGAGAAAGCTCCAAGAGTGAGGACATACCACCTTTGGGGTGCTGGATGGAGTATGGGAGGAGAGAAATCAAGAGAGTGGACAAAAATGAGTAAGTATTTTGAATTGCATGGCGGAAAGATGTTGGCACCACAAACCTGTTTGGGAGGTCCAGAGGGGAGGTTTTGTTTTCCGGGTAGAAGCTTGGTTTGAGGCCATGGGGAATGATTAGAGACTGAATAGGCAGGAGAGAGGCCACAGTGGTACAGGTTCAGGTGGGCTGGCCCTGGAAGGGCTTTTGAGAGCCAAGCCAGGGCCAGAAGGCCGAGGCTTATCTGCTCCGCTCATCTGCACAATGCTGGAAGGCCCACGGGACCAAGCTCCGGCCCTTGACCCTTAACCCCCAGGATCCACGGATCGGTACGACCAGTACATTCTTCCAGGCGGGTGGGCGGCAGACAGCGCATGCGCACTGGACAGAACGGCAGAGGTGGGAACAGCCGGTAGAGGGCGCAGGCTCTCTGGCCCGAGCCGGCCGGGCGGGGCAACCCTCGCTGGGAAAGAGTTGAGAGCAGAGGTCCGCGGGAGAGCAGGCTCTGCACGAGGCAGCAGACAGTGGGCGGGACCAGAGCGGGGGGTGGGGCAAGGCGGTTCCGGAAGGAAGTGGTTCCGGGTCCCGCGGCCCAGCTGAGGTAGCCTTGGTGCCGC